GTTGGTCATCTCCTTTGTGAAAGTAGCCATTCCCTCGCAGAAGGAAGTGCCATTTTGTAACTTCCAGAGAAAGCAACATGGGTGATGTTATGGGATGTAAAAGTTCAGTGGGCCATGACTTTACTTCTTTGTGGAAGAGCAGTCACAACTCTGCCTTCTTTGCTGGCCGTGACATAGGCTTACAGTTGCTTATGGGACTTTGGGGATATGGCAAGGCCTTTTCTGTTGAATTTCTGCGTAATTCCAAACAGTGTGAACTTTTCAAATCACTTGAGAAGTGCCCCAGATGGTGTGACATTCTGCTTCATGGGAAGATTTGAAAGTATTCCCTTTGCATAATTTCTGGTTAACTATTTCATTACGCTTGAAATGGGAGAACACCAAAGCCAAGAACTCTGTTGACATTTTGGCAGTGCTTGTTTAACCTCCTAGTGCACAGGCTACATTTGTTGAAAAATATTATTCTTACCTTTGCAAATCATCAGTAATTAATTCCCTTGGAAATATCTACTGCTGCACACAGCCAGCTTGGGAGGCTGCTGACAGATCATAGTTTTACATCAGGTGCTAACAAATTGATTATTAAATTTCATAAGTAACTGATTCATAGCAAGAACTTAATTTCTGTACCTCTAATGTATTCACTGACTGTATTTTCAAACAGCGCAGGACGTCTGGATTGCTTTGCTGCTTCTAGTGGTGAATTGAGCACAGCATATTAGATGGGAATGACTTGCCCAGTGCAAGGGTTAGTAATGTATCACCGGCTTGTGAAATGCACAAGATGTTAAATTGTTATCAGCTGGGATATTCACTATTAAGAATGACCTTGTTAATTCTATATGCTTTTTATTTCCAATAAATAGTAGCTACAGTTACCAGTACAGTAGGTTTTCTTGAAGTAATGTGCAGCTTGCAGTTAAAGCAGTGTATTCCTGAGTCTCAGTCATGCTGTGAAGGATAAGAAACGGTGCTATGATGGAGCAGCTCATGTTCAAGTCCCAGTACATACTTAAATCGTAATGGTAGGCCATGTTAGCTCACTTGGTGTGATGTAAGTCACTGACTGAAGGCATTTTAAGGAGGCATAGGGGTACATATTCAAAACACACTGCAAGGTTTTGACTATACAGTATTTACAGAGATATCAAATAGGAGTCACGGTTAGAGGGAGCAGCATGGTTTAGAGTAAACTCTAAAGAAAATTTTCCTTTGCTGCTGACATTTTTTGTTGGACTTAGCTGTGCCTTTGATGTAGAAATACAAACTATTTGAAACCAAGGAGAGATTTTTTCGTTAGGCTCAGGAGGAAGATTAATGCAGATTGTAGCAATGTTTTTAATGAACTTGTGAAATCAAGGTCATAGCTCTGCTATCACTTAAAAATACTCCTGCCATAAAGCAAAGATGTAGTGCCAGATGTGTGGTGTGAATTGTCATGTATCTTAAAAATTTGGTTCCTGCATAATGATATGTTCAGTGATACAGAGCTCTGCACCACTGAGATTAGAATCTGTCATCTGTGGCTGAAATTCATAACGATATGGTGGCTGTTACGTACCTAATCTCATTAATTTCCTGGTGTGTAAATGTCCAGGTCACAAAAACTTAGATGGCAATTTTCAGTAATTGGACCTTTGTTAGCAGTCTGTTGAGAGACACCGATAGCTTAATGGACACAGATCCAAATCTGAGAGGTGGTTCTTTCTGAGCTGAAATGAAGCACAACAACAGTATCTATTGATAAGGTGGTTTAGGTTTCTCTTCTGTGGTGTTTTCTAGAGAAATCAGCTTTTAACCATTTAAAACTACTAATGCTAATTAAAATAAAAGAATTCTAAAAGTGAATCTGATACTACCTTTTCAATATGCTATTAGTTTAAAATGCCTCCGTATTTATATTTCTTCACAGATTTTTCTAATACAGTACTGTAAATACTATTAACTCTACGGTCTTCTAATTTTAATTACTTTTACTTTAAAAAGAAATTAGAACAAAATGTGTGAAAAATACAAATCTCATGAACAGGACTGAAGCATAATTTTCTTTTATAGAACCCAATTAAATGCCCTAACAATTGAAGAGTGACTACATTTTATAGTTTTATAATTCTAGAATTGTTTTTTAATCACTTGACCTGACAGATTTAGGTATAGAGTGCATATTTTGCCTCTGGTAGTTATTGTGTAATTAGAATTAATGAAGGATACTACAATTCAGATAGGTGGAATATAGTTTTGGTTCATATCTGAATTCTTTCTGTCTTATTGCAGTTGGTTACCTCACAGTGCTAATGACAACTATCAAATAGAATTAAGGTCTTTTAAAAAGTGCTATATTTGCTTTCACAGGGAATGGTGATGGTATTTTCTGCATTACTGCTGTACTCATATATTTCAGTCCTAATACAGGAGTCTGTTATGCCAAAAATTGCACCTGTGTTGAAGAAGCTTGTTCCTTTTTCCCAGCAGATTTACAAATGTGTAAATTAATTATCACTGGAGTTTTTCATAAACTTTCAGAAGAGATGGTGAATCATCCAAAGTTTTCACACGTGCACATGAGAGATCCTTGCCTTTAAAAGGACAGTCCCTCTTTGTCTGCAGTTTCTCTTGCAGGTGTAGTATGTATGTGAAGGTATTATGTGTATAAGTGTTACTGACCAAAAGGCAAATCAGAAATCCAGGACTTCAGAAAATGAGCTTCCCAAAGTACACAAATGTTTCATACTGCTTCTGAAGCTTTTGTTCAGATTTTCCAAGTTGGCACACATACAGATATTAGGTTGTTAACTTTGTATTAAAGCAGACAACATTGGTAACTTCCCAGCAGGCTTGAAGTTGAAATTTATTTTAATAAGGAAATACAGCCTACTGTTTATGTCAGTGCTTATGCAGCTGAAAAGGTACATCTGATTCCCTCAGAAATGTCTTTTTGAAAGCTGGGCTATCAAAATCTCAGGTTTTCAAACATGCCTGAAGGAGTCTAATTACTTAGGTTTGTTTGACAACCTGGGGCTTCATGTTTCACATTCTTTTCCAGAATTCCTTTTGCAGATGCTCAGAGTTGGAGTATGTGTGTCCTTCAACCATACAGGAAAAAGAACTGACTGACTCTGGGTCTCCTGTCATCTTTTGTGTGTAGGGCTGCAAGGAAATACTTGAGAAGAGCAGAGGGCCAGCCGCTGTTTTTCCTAGTTGTGCTTCATTTGTTATTTTCACAATTAGAGTTTATGTTGGGTGGTTGATTTTGTATCATGGGATACAAAACTGCCCAGTCGCAGTAAAGATATAATAGGCTGGAATGGGCTAAACAAAGAAATGTGTTAATGTGGTGGAGTTAGGACATCACAGGTACTAGTGCGCTGTTAATGCAGGAAGGAAAGGTGCTTGTTTGGCCATCGTTATTTTATGTGACCTTTCTATTTAATTATATTATGGCCAGGGATGCCAGAAGCAGGCTCTCAAGTCTGAGGTTTACAGCTCAGGTGCGCTTGCTGAGGTCTGTGCATCAGACTAACTCAAGGACAAGAATACACTGTCGGTGTCAAGGTTGCTCCAGAGATGGAACAATCTAGCAAATGCAGACCCATCTGAGGTCCAAGAACCAGAGTCTTGTGTTTCACAAGGATTTCAAAAAATACAAGAAAGGGCAGAAAGGTTATTTGTCCTTGATCTTGTTTTGGAGATTGGGAAGGCTTTAAGGTGCATCGGATCCTGAGATTACGGTGGAGATATGAAGGAATTTGAAGTTTTCTGGATCTGATTTTTGACTGAGAGGGGTGTGTGACAGTCTAGGCTCTTTCTTACCTTAGTTTGGTAAAATCTTACCCTTTGCAAAGCAAATTAGGAATGCTTCACTTCAAGTTCCTTCCTTGCAAACTGGGCTGGCGAGGTTCAGTGAGGAAGGATTCTGTCGCTCTCTTAGAACCTTAGAAATGTTCTGATCTCTCCTATGTATTGTGTGCATTTTCCCACCAAAGATTACAGTTTCTGGAGGATGTTTATATTTTCCATCTCATTCTTTTCAAATTGTATTTTTTAACAGCTTACTTCACAAGGTGCAACAGTTTAAAACATGGGCATACGTCATGTTGCATTGTGTCTTTATCTTTTAATCGTTTTTGCCCTGACAGTTGTGCAGATATGTACCCCATATTAGAAAGTGACAGGAGGTGCTTCTCCCTTAGGAACAGTTTCTTTTCTAAATGCCCTAGAAGGAGCCTGTTTGCTGGATAGCAGTTGGGAGAGCAGTGTTATTGTTGAGCTATTTCTGGTGACCTGCTCATGCATATCAGTCAGCTATCCGCTAATCACTATTGTTGTGAAAGTTCAGGACATATGGAGTTTGCTGTGGTCCTTGAGATGTGAAGTATTACCATTCTACTTGGTATTTTTGAGGGAAGGGGAGAACCCATAGGGTCTGGCTCTGCTATGCTGTAGTGGGCTAAATAAAGTAGATTCGGATAGTGAGAAACAGAGGTTAAAACACGCGCTTTCTTCTCTCTCCTCCACCCATCCCTTTCCCCAGTCTCAGATTCACCCCTTCATCCCAACTCCTCTACTTTCCCTATCCTGAGCAGGGCAGAAGGATGAGGAGTGGTGGTCAGCACACAGCATCTCCTCTCTGCTGTTTCCTCCTCCTCACGGCATTGGGTACCTCTGCCTCCTTCTTTGTGCCTGCAGCACCAGCTCTCCTCTTCTCCCACCATGCTGCTCACCCTGCTCTTTCACACTTTCTCCTCTCACCCCTCTCTGCTGGATGGCCTTTCCCCTCTTCCTAAGTGCTTTTGCTTTCCCAAAGCTGCCACCGTTGTGGCTGAAGGCTCCACTGTGCCTTGCGGTGGGGCTGCCACACAACTGGACATGCACACTGACAGAGAGCCCTCATGCCTGCACTGAGGCATGGCTGGCTGGCTCACATAGGAATGCAATTACATGTATTTCATTGAGATTTCTGTCCCCTGACTCACTTCTCTCCAATACCCCTGATTACCCAGGCCTCTCCACATCTTGATCTGCAATGCTGCCGTGTTTGGTGTTCCCTTTGTCTTGACGGAGGATGAGCTGGAGTCCACCTTCCAGGTGAACCACTTGGGACACTTCTACCTCGTCCAGCTTCTGGAAGATGTTTTACGTCGGTCGTCTCCTGCTAGGGTGGTGGTGGTGTCCTCCGAATCACACAGGTTGGTGAAAGTTAGCTTTGATTTAGCTGAAACATTTAATCCTGAGAGCACAGAATGGTTGCGGCAGAACTGCAAAAGTTTTTGGAAATGAATGGCCTTGCTCTTGTAAAGCATTTGCTTTTGAATAATCTTTTTAGAAATAGAAGCATTACTAATGCCTCTGGATGTTACTGGATTTGGCTCTGTCGATGAATAAAGCGTGTTCTAGTTTTATAACGGTATGTAGATATTTTTTCATCATTCTTTGTATGAATGCAGATTTTTGCCGCATTTCAGACCGCTCATTGATTTTGCAAGGAGATGGAATAATAATTGATCAAATCTGAATGGCATGACCCGTATTGATTTGTCATTCAACAACTTCAACATCTTACCAAGAAGAATGTGCAGTTATTTTAGCAGGAGAAACAATGCAATTAAAAACTGCTAGATGAAATCCAATTGTTTTATAATGAGAAATTAGGGAATTCAATGCAGACATTAGCTGTATAATTGTAAAATGAGAAGTAGTGTAGTTAATACATATTAGAAATCTGGCCATGCCTCTTTTGGTGAGTTTTTTTAATTAAAATGTTAGATGCTCATCTTTTCTACTGCCAGGAGAAGTAAAGTTGGCAAAGACAATGTTGGTGAGGTTTGCCTTATTGAAGACATGCTTGTGGTGTTTGTGTTAATAACTGAAAAGGTGTATTTGATTTAAATGAAGTTCTCTGTGCAAAATGCATGCCCCAATTCTGAATTTTAGTGGGCACAAAACACTTACTGCCTTCCAATGTAGTTCAGGTTCTGCAGGATTAAACCTATATTGTCCAGCTTTAAACATTACTGTTGATTTCTATTTCACTTTTGGTCATGTGTAACAGCCCTAGCAAACAGAAAGGAAGAATGTGTAAGTGCTTTTTCTATTTTTTTTCCCCCTGCCTTCATATTTCTGAAATGTTTTAGTGACCCAGAATGAAGCTTATTTTTTTTAATCATGTTTCCATAAAATGTAACCCCAGGGACCTAGGAGAGAGAGACCAGCCAAGGGTCGGGCTGAAACCTTTATCACTTCCAAACACAGGGGCTTATGGTATAAATGACACACTGCAGATAGATTTACTTTTACCATTTTAAATTTATGATGGCTGAAATGAAAGGAAGCAATAGAAAATGCCAGTAATAATCCTCCCCAGTGTTAAAAGACATGAAATGTCTAGTAATTAGGTGGTAACAAAATCTGGACATCCTTATCTTTGCAAATCACACCAGGTTTGTGAAAGCAAGTAGCAGAGTCCTGTGAGTTGTGAGGGAGGCTACTGCAGGGCAGGCAAGATAGCTCTAGAAATAAATCTGCCAACTCCAATCACTTGCCAGATGTGGAGGGCACAATGGGATACGTATAAATGAGCTGTTATTTAATAGGAGATTATGTTGAATTGTCAGCTGCTTGTTCCCCTTTTGTAAGTTTCCATCTCTGATAGTATTTTAAATGACATCTTTGTTTTTCACTGTATTAAGCGCTATCTGTAACTAGACCACGCATCTCTGGACATCTTTGTCTGTGTTTTCAAAATATTTTTGAAGTGCTCATTGCTAACTCAGTAAGATCAGACAAGGTTTATAGAAGCCTATCAAAAAATAATTACAGCCCATGTTTGAATAAAATGGTAAATGCAACTAGTAAATTTCCCTTTTTCTAAGGGGTCCAATTCATGTATTATGGAATATCTTAACACTAACACTTAGTTATTGTAAATAACTGTGCCTTCCTCCCCCCCCCCCCCCCCCCCCCATCTATTTAATAGCAAGAAGTTGATGTAAGGAGTTAGTTTAGACGTTAGGTATTATTGGGTAGTAGTACTTTCTGACCTACTTGAGAACTCTGAGCCTTAAACTATGTTGTAAAACAGAAGTGTTGGTATCTAATTACTTCCATAAACCTTGGCTGGATCTTTTCACTGGAGTCAAGACCCCCTGTTAGGGGAAAAATAAAGTCTCCTCTTTGGAGAAAATATTATACTAGACTGCTCCAAGGCAAAATATTTATTTGCCTCTCTGGTTCTTTGTTCATTTCTAGTTACTTCTCTGGATTCAGCACAAATGGATTCTGTTTAAATTAAGCTTTTGCGTACTTTAAGCACATCATATTAAAATCAGAATAATAAATAGTTGAGTTTCCTTCTGTATTTATTTCTGTGTTGTTAATTTGATTGTACAGCCCTTATCCTACTGAATTCAATGAGATTGCCGACATAAGTAAGATTGACTCACATAAGCACACTTGCAGGGTTGGATTCAAAATATGCCACCGTATTTCCATTATACAGTATTTTATTTATAGATTATTTTTGGTGTCGTGAATGATTACTTGAGGAATGAATATAGGAAATTCCTCCCAGAATAGTATCATTAATTTCAGAAATGTATTTTATCTAACTGGAAATTATGAAAAGAAATTTTGTTGTTGAAATTGAAGGGGTAATTCTGCAAGACACAGAACATCCTGGATTCCTCTTGAGTTCAAATACCATAGTTGCTTTTCTCTGAGTGTATTATAATTCTGCTCACAGACTGAATGTAGAAATTCCAGCTGATCTCTTCATTTCTGGGCACAAGATGCAAAATTAGTAAAGATATTTTAAAGCATTTTTCTAGTGTGTACTATAATTATGTTTATCCCTGTTCTCTCCAGCTGATTCTGAAAACTCTGAGTATTAAAAAGAGCTTGCTAAATCCATTTTATTTTTAGTAGCTCTTCTGAATAAAACATAGATCTGTAACTAAATGTAGTATTATTTTCAAATACTAAGATATAACAGTAAATTGATAAATCAAATCAGAAGAACTGGGGAGAAAAATGCTATATGGAAACTTCCTTTTCTTCATCTAAATGTCTTTAGAACATTCACTACTTTGTTATGAAAAAAAAAAAAAAAAAAAGAAGGAAAGAAACAAACAGCTGGTGTTTAATGACTCTGTCAGACCCAATTAAAAAACATCAACTAGTTACTTTGATTTGTGTTCAGCCATGCCATGGGTATACTTAAAAACATTATACTCTGCCAGAACTCATTTTGGCTTTGTTTACATTTATCTTTTAAACATATAAGACTATTGATGGCAAGTTACCAAGGTTATAACCCCTTTATATTCATCAATTTTTAATCTGAAAAAGAGGCTAAGAGGCAGTGAGACTCATCCATAGCTACTTGAACACTTAAATGAAAGTGTGCAGTATGTGAACACTGGATGAAATAATCAAGGGAAGGGAAGAAAAGGAAATGAAAGTACGCTGGTTTTCTGTGCTCATAATGCAGTTATCCTACATTATTTCCTCCAAGTTGATTGTGCTTTTGTGAATCTGTGGCAAAATCTTTTTTCTGGATTTACAATAAAATTATTTGTATGTTACATATGATGCCTTTAAATCATGAAAACCTTTTGTTATTTCAATTCCTTAATAATTTACTTTTGATAATTATTCAAAATCTTTTTGCCATATTATATGGTACTGTTCGCTGGGTCTCAAACAATTTCCAGTGGATACTTTTAACTGCTAAATGAGTTGTATCTGGCCAAGTTCTACTCTGTTGTCTACATTTTATGTTCTTTTCAATGAGAGCAAAATTAACTCTGGGCTATCTAAGGCATATTTACTGGTTTTTAGATTTACAGAAATTAAAGACTACTCTGGAAAACTCGATTTCAGTCTGCTTTCTCCGTCTAAAAAGGAGTATTGGGCTATGTTGGCCTACAATCGTTCCAAACTTTGCAATATACTGTTCTCCAATGAGCTGAACCGACGCCTTTCTCCCCATGGGGTGACGTCTAACTCAGTCCATCCTGGAAATATGATTTACTCCTCCATTCATCGTAACTGGTGGGTGTATACCCTGCTGTTTACCTTGGCTCGACCCTTCACCAAGTCCATGGTAAGTGAATCACAGTATTTTACACATATTCATTTTTTCTAATCAGGGGAGTAAAGTTATAAAAATCCAGATTTATGTACCTGCTTTAACCTATTGTCTTTTATTACTATGACCCTGATTTTAATTACAAAAAGTCATTAGTTCATTAGTACACATTAGTGAAGTGTTCTTTTTAGAGGATTCGTCTGTCATTTTAGATCAACTTTGTCAGTCTTCAGTAAAGGTACCTTGTTAGGTGGAATGCATGACTTCCTTGTTTGAATACATGATTTTCACTGTGATTAAGGTAGTTGAACATCTTAGGTATGGGATAGCTTAGAGTTATTTCTGTGCTCAGGATATGTAAAACATCAAAAAAATTGCTTTGGTTTTTCAGTGGAATACGCTTGACTGCATTTTTTATGTAAACAGATGCCCTAGTTAAAAAAGATACTACAGACATTATTAATGGCTAAGAGAAAGTGCCTTCAGTGGTAAAAGCACCTTCATTCATATTTAAAAATAAAAATAAAAACAAAAACAAAACCCCAGCAATTTGTTTGATTCTTCCAAAGCACCGAAGGCAATGGGTGTTTTCCCTTTGTCTCCATTGGAGTGGGACCAGGACATAATGAAAGATTGCACAGTTCTTTCATAACCAACAGTATAAGGCTTCATTAGATGAGAATTTGCAGCATCACCAGTTACTCTTATCCCTTGAACCTCTGGCCCAGATTATCCTCTCTTTAGGCAGAGGATGACTGTTGCTTCATTGAGAACTGCCTTCCTTTACCTTTCTATTTCTCATCCCTTATTCACAGATAAAGAAGGGTATTCCCAAAAGTGAAGCAGAGAGGGAGTCTCCCTGAATGTTTACAGCTATGAATCACGGAAATGGGAAGATTTATACCCCTACAGAACTGATCTAGGCACAGCAATTTATTCAAGCCCAAACCAGGCTGTTTTTGCAGAAGACTTCACAAGTGACAAGTAGTTGTGTTGTAGCATAACTTACTGTCTGCTGAGCTGGGGATTCAGACCAATTAGCTTTATTTTAGAAAGAGCAGAGAAGAAATTGTTAAGGCAGAGGAATCCATCGTTAAGTAGCTTAATCTACCATATAAGCTATAGCAGCTGAGCAAATCCGTGGTGGAACTTGCATGTATACCTGCACAAAAAAGTTTGCTTCTAATTTTCATTGTCATCTAGATAATGATATTAATCTCAATTTTTACCATGTCAGTATAAGTGGAAACAACATTTATAGTGTTCAACACTCTGCTTACACATCCAAAAAAGAACAGCTTCTTGAACAATATTGGATCTCCAGTAAGACTCGTGGAGCAAAATTAAAAACACTGTAATGTGGTACACTGGTAATATGTCAGTCAGGGGAGTCTTCACATCTCTAACCTCTGCCTGCAGTCTGCAGGCTGTACATATGCAAAAACTATTTATGTCCATGATGTTGGTAAGTGAGCATTCTGGCACCCTGGGACAAGTAATACCTTTCAACAGCATGCTTTTTTTTGACCAGGACCTTTAAAACCATGTCTCTGCTGTGTTAGGGATAGTTTGTAAAACAAATGCTTGAAGTTCTCCTGAGAATGGGTAAGTGAATGTATGCTATCAATGTCCCATGAAAAGGATCCAGCCTGTGGAACTTTATGAATTGTTAGTTTTATTTGCTCTGACATGGCTTCACAAAGGAACCTTTTGTGTTTGCTGCTCAGAATAACCTCTAAGGAACAAAATGAACAATGAAGTTAATTCTGAATTCTTTAAAACAATTGATAGATTTTTTTTTTTTCTAAATAGTTATTTATTTATGGGTGGTACATAAAAAAGAATGCAAAATACCAGCACTGAATATCAGCACACTCCAGTTCCAACCCAATCACTTCAGTCTTTTGTGTTTGTTTGTATTTCACAGAGGTTATTTGAATGTTGTGCTGGAGGGTATGAGTGTAAGCATCAGGTTTATAGCTCATATTCTGATATGAATTGTTATGTTCCCCTGAACCTTACCAATATTTTCATTGCCAGTAAAATTATAAGAGTGCCCCTTCCTGGGTAGGCAAACCCGCTGAGCTGAAACTCTCAACATCATCAGTGTAAGAGTTTTTCTGTTTGAAGTTTTGTAGGGAACAAATTATTTGCTGCTTCTCTTTATTTTAGGGGTTGCACTGTCACCAACCTGGAACAGACTTTGTTGAGGATCTTTTGGGGGCTTCCTCTCAGTTTTTCTGTGGCAGCTCACCTCAGATTTTAGATGAGTGTTTTTGTCAGAGTACTGTGTGTGTGTCTTAAGCTTAAAGCTACAGTCCAAAGGTTGTGAACTCTATGTTCCTGTATTTTGCAAGGATGTCTGCATTGCACAATGCAGCATGATGCAGCAGCATTTAATGTAGTTGAGTCTGAGCTGGGTCCGTAACTGGAATTAAGAGATCCGTGTCAAGGTTGCGTGGAGAGAGGTAAGGTTTATCAGCTCAGGCAAGGTGACTTGCAGATATGCCTGTACCGGTTTTGGTCTCTGAGGCAGTAGCTTTAGATGCTGCAGCATTGTGATACATGGAGAACCTAATCCTTCTGGAGACCATTTGAAGGTCTTTGCTACGTTTTGATCTGTAAAGACTCCTGGGGTCTGTGTAGATGCATGCATATATATGTATATATGTATACACACATACACACAGAGTTCCACTGCACATACCAGATTATAACTGGGACCTTTTTGTGTTATTGTAAAAGCTGTTAATAAAAAAATAATCACATCTTTAATTTGCATTTCATAAAGATAGACTTACTAGATGTTCTGTGAGAGGTGGATAGCTTAAAGTTTCAGATCTTTTGATAACTTTGAAGCTAGAGAATTAGAAAATATGTTTGTTTCCCTACTATTTATTTCCAGAACAATGTAATTCTTACATTATATCCTGGCTGCAAGTTGCTACTTCACACATTTGACTTACTTGTCATCATTTTCTGTGGTACTTGTAAAATCATCTATTTAACGTTCACTTACTAGAAATCATAACTTTTAGTAATTATTTTGTTTTGTTTCCGACAAGGAAGAAATATACATTGTGTATCCAAAATGTATTTTTTTAATATTTTAATAATATTTTAATATTTAATAATATTTTTAGTTGTTCAGTTCTTGAGTGTTGAAAAGCTGCACTTTGGTTGATGAGGATGTAGTATTTTGTTCAGAAATGCATGCTGTTGTCTACTGTGAATCACCATCTTAGAGAGAGGTCATGAAGCCTCTGGCATGTGGCACTTGGGGTTATTCAGCATGACAGAATTTAGCTTAGTAAACACTGCTGATAGCTGTTTTAGCTGATTCCCTGAAGAGTTGAATAGTCTAATATCGCGCTCTAATTTACCTGTTTGCTGTTATTTGCTGCAAATTTTGTGACTTAATTTCAGTAATCAGGACACTTTATGAAGTCAGGCTGTTTTAACTTAAAATCTGATTTTTCTAAAAGAACAAACATAGTTAGGGTTTATGTCTTTCAAGTGTGAGGTTTTTAGGAACTCAATTTTAGTAGCTTGTGTAAATGGTCATACCTTACTGCAGTAAATGCAACTCCACTTTTGAAAATTTGTTCTATGAGTCACTACAGCATAAAAATCGTGTTATGTTTGTACTGGTTATAGTAAATCCTTGTGTGGAATCACAGGGAGCTGTCTCGTCAGCTTTTGAAACAGCAGAATATTTAAATCACTGATGCTTATTAAGTAGAGCTGAAACTGGAAACTGAGACTATTCCTTTTTTCCAACCCACCTTTTTTTAAGATCTAAAATCTATAAGGATTTGCTCGACAGAAATGGAGAACAAGTCTGTTTTTGTAGTAAGCAGTAGTTGCAAGTAAATTACCATTTCATTATTGTAGTAACTGTAGCTCTAATAATGTTCAAAGGGCTTCTCTTTTACTTACTACTGTATAGTTACTGAGTAAATTGGAGAAGCTTGTAGTATAATTAAATGTCAATTGAAACAGGTGGCCACTGTAAATAACAGTTTGGAAGAGAAGCTCTGAATGTTACTGCATAGGCCGTGCGTGTGCTTAGCTGGTTTGATCTAAGGGTTCACGGTTCTACTCCTCTTGCTTTTTCTCAACTTCTTTTCTTTTTAGCTCTTTCCTCTGTGCTCTTTTGCTCTTCTTTTCTCCTTCTGTCTCTCTTTTCTTTCCTCTCCTTAAAGTTGTCTTTAGTGCAGTTTGACTAAGTTACTTTAAGTTAATTCTAAGTCATTCAGGACCCATCTGATTTGTTCTTATTTACACACACGATTAAAATTAAATACATTTATTATAAGTTTGGAGCTTACACTGAGTGTGCTATCTAGTGTCACCCCCCAGTGATTTTGTGAGTGTACAATGGCATATAAAATTAGAAGCAGAGTGCCATTACTGCACGCTTGTGATAGTCTTACATAGAACCAAATATTTTTGTTGGCAGGTAATAGAGCAGAAAGAATATCATGTGTTAGAGTAGCAAGAGCTTAACAGATGTTTCAGTGAACTGAGTTTTCAAATCCTTTTACATTAAGAAATGGCTAGAGTTTGTAGAAGTTCTGAGACTATTGGGTTACATTTCCTGTTGCAGTGCAAAGCCAGCCATTGTGCTAGAGTTTTAGCAGATGTGTTACCCCCTTCTAATGGTTGGGAATAAAACATTGGTTCTCATACTGAAATATACTTTATATCTAGAAGAGCTCAACCTGTCGCCTTTAAACAGCCAGTTAGCTGCAGTAAGACCATTCTGGCCTTAATTTTTCACTGTGTAAGAGACTGATACTCGAACTGCTCTTTGATCCTCCTCCCTTAAAGATAGTAGCTTTTCAGAATGGGATTTTGTATTTAAATTATTTGCTATTGGGAATTATAAGGAATATTTTTAAGGGCCCCAAAGTCCTTTGCATATATTAGTCTTTCATAAAACAATGAATTGTCATTGTGGTGTTATCCCAGGAGTGGTTTAGGCAGTGTACATGTATTGGAATCCTCATCTGAGTAGAAGGAAAACCCCTGTGCCTACAACTGTTTCACTGCTTTTAATTTTGCCACATGTTGGAAGTGTCTAAATTTACATTTCATGTGGTGATTTATGCTCACACGTAACATCAACTCAGAAATGCTATTCTGGCAAGAGATGAATCTGCATCTGTAAGAATGACTTTCTTCTACCTGGTGATCACATCTGTTTGATAAAAGCTCAAAAGAGACCCTGCAGTCTCGTCATCTTTTTCTCCCCTGTTCCTTGCTAAAGAAGCTGGAATAACCCTTAGAGCTGGGGATAGTATTCCCTCCTTGAGCAAACATTTTTTGCTGTCCAAAGATCTGTGTGGGCTGTGTTGAGTTGATGTTGGCTTCCATTACTGAATTCACAGTTCAGGCTGAATTCTGCCCTCAGCTGTGCATGTTCAGAGCAATCATGAGCAGGGTGGGTATGTGCGCGTTTCTGCATAGAATTTGGCCTGTATTTCATCCCTAAAACATTCCTGAAAATGCACTGGGGTTTCCTGAAAAGCAACAAACAGTTGCTTTGAAAAGAACCTCACAGTTTAGATTTGATCAAAATGGCAGTTTCTGTTCTCAAATTGAGTATTGGGCAGAAAGTGAAAGAGGCTTGGAGAATGAAACTGGATTAACTATCTACTAGATATTAGCACTTGTTGCAGAGTGTATATATCACATACACAATTCTCCTGTTTCATGGGTTAATGCCTAAAGTGTAAATGGTAAAGCGATGCTAAGCAACATCTCTCTTTCTAACACACAGAACTGTCTCTCTAGTAACATGGAAGGACAGCTATTTTGTTGAACCCTGACAGTATATACTTCCTTGTGGAGTACTTTTTTTTTAAATAGATTTGGAAATTGGATAAAGGAAAGAAGGCATTTGTGGAAGAATATTTTTATTGGTTGTAGCAGGATGGTAAAGAGATTCCTCCAAAATAGTTGTGAATCATTTTGGAAGAATGGGCCAACATTTCTTCTATTCATTTAGAATTTCTGCATCCTATTTAATAATGAAATAAAACATAATCTAGTTTATTATCAAACTTACATTTAACTGATACATATTTTAACTTCCTGCTAAAATGAATGTAGCATGAAATATGAGGGTAAATTAAATCTGTTCTTCATAACCTACACCACAGGAATGGAAAGTCTTTATGAAAACCCATCCAGATGCCAAAGACCACAGCTCAGGATCTCAGTGTGCAAGGCAGTGCTCAGTGGGAGTAATGGCCATGGTATTTGCTGTGTCCAATACACCCCCATAGCTGTTTTTGGGGCAGCTCTGTTATGTCCTATAGTTTTGTTGAGGAAGTAAGGAATTTCTTTCTCTCCCCCTAGATCCTTGCAGCATTTCAGAATGTCCTGCCAAGTACGTGGGCTGCAAGGCAGGGAAACATTTGGTCCATAATGTTTTATATTACATGTAATTAAATTAGAATCTGAAATTAAAAAGGATGTTTCCCTATTTTCCAGCCTGGAAAAACCTTCTTGGATTAGAAAGTTATATATACACCTTGTGGAATGTCTGCATACAGGTCTGAATTGCCCCAAAATGCTAATCTTTGTGCACCCTCACATACAGCCCTGTCTGATACCTTGTCGTCTCCTGCCTGAAACCTGAAGATTAACCTCATAGGTAGTTAACAGCAGAGAACATAATATTGCTTTCTGAAACTTGCAGAAAGTCAGTCTTGCATTCAGTTATTTTCATTTCTTGATCCAGATTTTTATACCATCTAGAAACAGACCTCTTTATTGAATAACAGGGGAGTATCAGATTCTTGGGTATAAGCTGCATTACAAATAAAATAGTGAGTGCTTAACAAAAGGTTTCAAAAGTGAATCCTTTTTGTTTTTGCACTCTGGTATGATGCATCCATAATTTCTTTCTTGTCTGAAAGTCCCAGACTTTCCTTCACTGGACTTCTTTTCCTTCATTCTTTTGTAGTCCTGAGTTCTTGTTTTTTTCCGACTCTTATTCTTCCCCTTTCACTCACCATCACTTGCAGAATTAAACATGGCTGAAGTGCTGTGGTGTCCCTGAGGTGTTTTGCAGCATTGATCTGCTCAGAATGTGTTTGAGAAACCATAAGGAAGGAATTTTCTGTTGTATTACAACTGTTGAGGTCCTTGGGTGACGGGCAAGATGTTGCAGTCTGACAGAAGCAGCTGAACAGGAGAGTTAGCTTTTATTTTGTCCCTTGACCTTCATTTCTTTTTTATGTCATAACTATACTTACTATTAGGAATTTGCCCCATCCCTGTGGTAGTTTTGTTGAGATCTTTCTCATAGTGAAACATCATTTGTTTTATTTGCTGCAAAAACTATTTACTGCAATAACTGAAAACAAGTAAGGGATTGATTTTCCATGGGCAAAGATGACTAAAATTTAGAGCTGTGGGTTTGAAGATATCTTTTTAGGTGATTGGGTAGTGGAATTCAGT